GGTGGCATCATTGATGGACTCGGGGGTGGCAGCGGTGGTGAGGTTGGCCCAGGATCGAGCATTGTTTCGTTCTGCTGTGCATGGGGTCGCTATGAGTCGATTCCGACTCGATGGCACCTGACAACAACAACAACAACAACAACAACAACTTGCCTGAATATTTGCTTCTCTAAGAATGTGTGATAAGGCCATGTGTCAGAACTAAACTTGTTGCAGGGGCCAGTGCTTCTTTTACTATGGCCATACCCTTGGCTTGACTCGAACCCCTAGACTTCTAGACACTGGATTTTCTGAGAGATGGAGTATCCATGACTACAGAATGTAACGTTGTATTTCTAAGTCCACCAGGACCCCTTACTGTCTAGGCTTACAATGATCCCAAGCTTCTTCCTTGGAAGACACACAAGTTTATCCCGTCCCAGACGAAGTCTTTGTTGCTCATCCTTTGCTGCCTACACTGATCTCTCTTTCTTTTAGTTCCTCTAAGTTTAGTGAGTAACCGGATACTCTCTGTAAATGTGATTTTAATACTCCAATGGTGGAGTATCCTCCACTTCTTTAAAGCAAAGACCATGGCTCTTTACCTCTAACTGTCCTATTATCTAGCACAATTCTTTAGTATCATACTATTAAGACCTTAGAGTTTACAGGTTAATTCTAGTGTAATGAATAAAGATGACTGTAGAAGAATTGATGCATTGGATATATGATGTTGGAGAGGAATCTTAAAGGTACCATGAACTACTGGAGGAACAAACAAATCTGTATTGGAAGAAGTGCAGCCAGAGTGCTCCTTAGAACCAAGGTGTCCAGACTTTGTCTGATACTTCTGACTTATTATCGGGAGGGGCCAGTCCCAGAAGAAGGACATCATGCTTAGTAAATTAGATGGTCAGCCTAAAGAGGGAGACACCCAAACCAGATGGATTAGCCCAGTGGCAGCAGCAGCAATGGGCTCAAGCATTACAGCAGTTGTGAGGACGGCACAGGACTGGGTGGTGTTTTGTTCTGTTTTACATAGGGTCACTAAGGGTCAGAAATCACACAGCACCTAACAATAGCAATTAAGTCTGATGTTAACTTGTTCAACTTGTTGAATCAAGTTCTTTTGTTATTAAATCCAGAAACCCAAAATTCTTTCTCCTGTGTCTGCTTAGTGTGTGTAGTCCAATCTCCAGGAACTGCCTTCACAGGATTTCCCCATTCCCGGCACTTTTCAGGACTCTTGGTTAGCCACACACCCATTCCTTCTGGCCTCATCTTCCCCTGTGTCCTCCAGTTTGAGAAACTTGTCTTTCCTTTCACTTAAGAGACCCGTTGCCTGCCTCCAAGCTTCTTTGTTTCCTCCTTTCGTCTCTTTCCCAAGGCTCCCTTGCTTTGAAGAGACAGCTGAAAAGGAGTAGATTATTTCATCTTTTATGATCGGCAAGAGAAAAAGTAGACTTCATAAGGAAAATTGGCAAGATCTTGGGTTATTTGCATTTCATAAGAACCAAAGTTTTCTTAATTTTTTTTGCTTTTTTTTTTCAAAGAACTTTCAAATATACAAAAAAAAAAAAAAATTGATCCAAATGTTGAAACATCTGCTGCAGATTTGGTGGATTTAGCAGCTTTAATTTGGGGCCCCAAACTTTTGTGATTTAGAAACTATTTTGCTACTAGTTAGCTAGGAGCAGCATTTCATCTCAAGGTTATCCTTCCCTTTCTTTTCAGAATACAGCCATGCCCAAGAGCTTGTCTGCGTGCCTCTGGACGTGACAGCCACTTTGAAATGTTTTAGAGAGACCTTGGAGAAGTCTAAATATCACAACAGATCTCTCCGGCACAGCAGAAAGTTGCTCTCCTTATTTCTTGCACAGCCACAAGGTAAAATGCTTGCTCTCTACCCCTTGATGGTTATTTTTGTGGAATTCCCACCCTGAGACTTTACCAGATTCTGCTGCAATGTTCTTCCGTTTTCCCATCTATCTACCCACTCTCTGCTGCTGCTGCCTTTCACTCCCTCGCACGTATCTGCTAATCTCATCTCTCTGGTCAGCTTCACTCCACTCAAAGCACTTTCTCACACTCCTGCTTTTGTGCATTTGTGAAACTAACATACGCCCTTGAATATGTTTGCTGTTGCTAAGAGTCAGTTTCCACTCAAAGCAACCCTGTATAGGGTTTCCAAGGGGTGGCTGGTGAGTTTGATCCAAACTTGCAGTCCAGAGCTTTATCCCACAGCTCCTATGAAACCAATATTTGTTAATTTTTTGATTCTGCACATCTGCAGCCTTACAGTTTTCTATGCCTGTACAGTTGATGTTGTTGTTAAGTGCCGTCGAGTTGGTTCTGATCCATAGTGACCCTGTATAGGGTTTCCGAGGAGTGACTGGTGAGCTTGAAATGCCAACCTTGCAGTTCAAACGGCTTTGCAGTCTGGGGCGTTAACCCACACAGCCACACCAAGTCTCCATGTTGTGGTACAGTGCTATAGTCTTAATTTAGTTTTGTAAGTAGATGGATTGCTTCATACTGAATTAATGAGATCTTTATACCCAATGGAGTCCTGTGTGGCACTGTGGGTAGCGTAGTGGTTATGAGTTGGGCCGTTAACCTCAAGGTCAGCATTTTGAAACTATCAGCCGTTCCATGGAAAAAAGACAAGGCTTTCTGTTCCCATAAAGATTTACAGCCTTGGAAATCCTATGCAGGGTCGGTATGAGTCGGAACCGACTCCACAGCACACCACCGCCACCATTAGGCATATGGGGTCCTGCTGTGGCATGGTTGGATCAGCACTGGACTGCTAATCACAAGGTCATCAGTTCAAACCTACCAGCTGCTCCTCAGAAACCCTATACTGTGTCACTATGAGTTGGAACAGATTCGACAACACTTAACAACATTAGACACACATTCCATTTCATCCTCCTAATTCTGACTCTTCTGTTTCCTCTATTGTTGTTAAATGCCACTAAGTCAGTTCCAATTCATAGTCACCCTATTTAGGGTTTTCAAGAAGCAACTAAGTTCTGGTGTGGTTCTGCAGGATAATGGACCACAAGGTCAGTTTGGACTGCAAAGTCGGCAGTTCAAACCCATCAGCTGCTTCTCAGAAACCCTATACAGGCTAACTGTGGGTCAGAACCAACTTTGCAGCACTTAAAAACAACAACAACAAAGGAGCAGCTGGTGACTTTGACTGATGACCTTACAGTTCTCAGTCCAGTGCAAAATGTGCCTTGGACGGCCACTTGCAAGCTTTAAGATGCCAGGCGCTGCACAAGGAGCTGGGGGATAGAACAGGAGCACTGAACACATTATTGAGCCAATTAAATGGGGTGTACCATGAAACAATGACCCTAAGGTCCCCAAACAAGAAGCCAAATCCCATTAGGTATTTGGTTGTACATAAACAGCCCAAGTTGCTACTCTTTTTGCTTTGTTTGTTTTTATTGTAGTTGTAAATACAAGGGGGTTTCAAAAAGTTGAGGAAAAATTCCATTGTCTTTTAGTTTCATTTCTCACCAACTTTTTGAAGTTCCCTAGTATATCCTAAGGAGTCCTGGTGTGGTGCTATAGGTTAATGTACAGGATTACAAGGTCAGTTTGAACTGTAAGGTCAGTGGTTCAAGTTCACCAGCCACTCCTCAGAAATCCTAATACAGGGACACTATGAGTTGGAACTGACTCAACTGCATTTAACAACAAGTATATCCTGGTGTGGTACTGTGGGATAAAGCAGTGGACTACAAGCTCAGTTTGAACCACAAGGTCAGTGATTCAAACCCACCAGCTTTTCTTGAAACCCTTTGCTGTGTAGCTATGAATCGAAATCAACTTGACAGCATTTAGGGATAATAACAAAAGTGCATCTATCACACAGTTTGGTTAATTAGAATAATATACATTTAATGTAATTATATTTTAAAGTTATTAAAAAATATTTTACTTATACTAGTTGAGATATTAACT